TGACACACCCTACTCCATTTCTGGCAGATGGCGGTCCAGTCTCTTCTTGAAAGCCTCCAGTGATGAAGCTCCCACAACCTCCGATGGCAAAAGCCGTTCTATTGGTTGATTGCTCTCACTGTCAGAAAGTTCCTCCTTATTCCCAGGTTGAGTCTCTTCTTGTTCATTTCAATCCATTATTCCTTGTCTGGCCTTCAGGTGCTTTGCAAAATAGGTTGATCTCCCTCCTCTCTGTGGCAGCCCCTCAAATATTGGAAGACTGCTATTGTGTCTCCCCTGGCCCTTCTCTTCTCTAGACTAGCCATGCCCAGTTCCTGCAACCGTTCATCGTATGTTTTAGCCTCCAATCCCCTCATCATCCTGGTTGCTCTTCTCTGCACTCTTTCTAAGGTCTCCACATCTTTGTTATAGTGTGGTGACCAAAACTGGATGCAGTACTCTAGGTGTGGCCTTACTAAGGCTTTAGAGAGTGGTATTAGTACCTCACTTGGTCTTGATTCTATCCCTCTGTTAATGTAATTTAGGATTGCATTAGGATGATGAAAACATCTGCAAGAAAATCACCATGCTCCGAGGCACCAAGGATTCCTCATTTCAACCCTGTGCTACAAATATTCTCCTTTACGGGATTCTGTTACTTTAACGGTCCTCCTGGCGTGTACAGGGTTGGCTTTTTAATTCTGGTTATCTGCCAAGGGCCAAAAGCCCAACCATTTCCCAGGCTCCTCTAAGATATTTTCTTTTCCTCCCTGTGTTCCCGCAGAAACCATCCAGATTAAGGAGGAACCCGCCGAGGTGTCTGTAACGATACTCGAGCATCCGAACGCCGAAGGGACGAGTGCGAACAAATGTGCCCTGTGTGGGAAGACCTTCAGTTGCAAGTCGGACCTCACCAGGCACCAGAGGACTCACACGGGCGAGAAGCCCTTCCGGTGTTTCGAGTGCGGGAAAAGCTTCAGTCGAGGCGATTATTTGATCTTGCACCAAAAGCTTCACCGGGGGGAGAAGCCGTACAAGTGCTCGGAGTGCGGCAAGGGCTTCTACCGAAGCACCCGGCTCATCTCCCACAAAAGGGTCCACCTGGCCGAGAAACTCTACAAATGTTTCCGTTGCGGGAAGAGCTTCGGCGACGAGGCCAAGCTCGCCCAACACAAGCAGGCCAAGCACACGAACGAGAGGCCGCACACCTGTGCCGAGTGCGGCAAGAGCTTCCGCCGGAGCACCCACCTCACCAGGCACCAGAAGATTCACACCCGCAAAGCCCGTTACCGCTGCCTGCAGTGCGAGAAGACCTTCACTTGTCGAAAGCACCTCCTGTCCCACGAACGGACGCACACGGGGGACAAGCCGTACAAATGCCTGGATTGCGGCAAGAGGTTCAGCTTCAGCGGGAACCTGGCCTCGCACCTGAGGATGCACACGGGGGAGAAGCCCTACCTGTGCCTGGAGTGTGGGAAGAGTTTCAGCCGGAGCGCACACCTCACTTTGCACCAGAGGACCCACACCGGGGAGAAGCCATACACCTGCCTGGAGTGTGGGAGGGCCTTCAGCCAGAGCAGCAACCTCACTTCGCATCAGCGCATCCACACGGGGGAGAAGCCCTACGAGTGTCCCGTCTGCGGGAAACAGTTCTCGCGGGGCGACTCGCTGGTCTCGCACCAGAGGATCCATGCCGCGGAAATAGTCTAATCCGGGGTTCAAAGGGCATTTGGCGCAATGGGGTGTGTGTGCCTCTCTGCAGTGAGCTTCAATTGCGAAGGGGGGGAAAAATGGGAAAGAGAGCTGACTCTTGCTTCATGTCAATCAAGTGTGTTTCAGAAGCTTCGTTGTCGCCTTTGGAGATCCTCGAAGATCGTGGTTGTCCCAGAGGCGGGGGTTGGGTGTATAATTCTCAAAATCTTGTTGGTTGTACAAGGGGGGGGCATGCTATATTTTTTGGTCTCTTCCTACCAGGTTGTATGTCATTATTTATGGCAACGGATGAGACTGGCTCATTGGCCCACAAGCCATTTTGCAATTCCAGGGGATTTAAAAGACAAACAAACCAACATCCTGATGTTACAAACCAACATCCCGATGTTACACACAATCTAAACTTGGGACGAAGCATGTTAAAAGGGCTTTTAATTACCGCATTTTTCAGACTATAAGACACAGTTTTGCCTCCCAAAAGGGGGTGAAAATGTCTGTGCGTCTTAGAGACCGAATATTACCGAAGCCCCGCCTGCCAGCCATTTTTTGGCCTCTGCACAACCCATTTTCAGGCCTTTGTTCGGCCGGTTTACGGGGCTTTTTTCGGCCCCATTTTTGAGGCTTTTTTCATCCCATTTTTGAGGCTTTGGGGGGGCTATTTTTTAAAAGAAAAAACCAGGAAAAAGCCTCAAAAACAGCTTTTTGGGTAACTATTATTGCTTTGTTCTTAAGAGATGATCTTTGGGTGATAATTTGCAAAATCCTCCTTAATAATCTTGAAGGAAGAATCCGGAGGTGATTGCTGGGTTCTTGTGGAGAGTGATGAACTTGGTTCAAACTTGGTTGAAAATAGGGAATAAAACATTACCTTTGTGGATTATATATATAATATATAAATTTTCAATCCCACCTCTTGGATATATATATATCCCACCTCTTATATATATATATATCCAAGAGGTGGGATTGAAAATTTTTAGCAACCCAGTTGCTGGGTGGGCGTGGCCATGGGGGTATGGCCATCTCAGCCTCCTCACGGGGAGAGGGTGTTTCGGTCTTCCCAGGCTCTTGAGTCTTGTGTCACGCCTCCCGGAAATGGGCCTGGGAGTTCCGGGAGGCCTGTTTTTCACCTTCCCAGAGCTTCCATGCGGGCCCTGTACTTACCTGGCATAATGAAGGGGCTGTGTAGAGACTCCTGGGAGGGGTGGGATAGGCAGGCCAGGGCCAACCAGCCCGTGCAACAACTGGTTCGGCGAACCAGATGCAAAATTAGAATCCAGTTCGCCCCAACCTGTCCGAACTGGCTGAGTCCCACCCCTATAATATATTCCCGCCATCTTCCCAAGGAGACCGAAACAAGACATCCCTTTCTCCTGCTTTCTGTTTTTTTTGGTGGTTTTTTTGTTAAATCTCCCACAACATCCCTGACAAGGCAGGCCAGTTACGGAGAGAAAAGGGGACTGGCAGTAAGGCGCTTTCTTTTCGGAAATGGTTGTGGGAATTCCTTGCTTTCTTGGCCCCACACTGCCATTCTAATCTCCATGTGAATCCAAACCTTGATTTTGAGATCCTTTTACCCTCCTGGAAAGGAATGAATTTGAATCCAAGCCATAAGAGTTGAAAGGGACCTCAGAGGTCATTGAGTCTGACCCCCCTGGCTCTTAAGGTCTGTTGGAACATCTCTTGACAGACAACCCTCCAGCCTCTAAAGGCCTCCAGTGAGGGAGACCCCACTGTTTGGAGGGGTTGTGTGTGGAGGCTATTTCACTGCCTGACAGGAGGAGGGGAGGCTGTGATCCCGTAAAGCGAACTGTGAAGGGAATGTCTCTTCGAATATGGCACCACCATTGGGTCAATTCTAAGTAACATTTCTAGCTTCCAAAGATCGGAAAACCCATCCTGTTCCCTCCCTGTCCTCCATTTCATTTCCTTTCTTCTTTCCCCTATTCAGCAACCCTCAGCTCTGGAGCTGCATGTGGCTCTTTCATCCCTCTGCTGTGGCTCCCCGTTGCTCAAAATATGCATCACAACCGCCAATGTGTGATACCCATCGACATGCGATTTATTGAGCGTTTCGACCTCCGGTCGGCCAACCATGGATAAATCCAAGAAAAAGAAAAGTTTCAGAAAGCAACGGAATGTTTAATTCAAATACCTACGCTAGTTCCGTGGCCACTCAGGAAATAGTCAGGCATGGGAAGGGTTTTGTGGCTCCCGGTGTTTTCTGTGGAAAACTGGTCCGAATGGCTCTTTGAGGGTTTAACGTTGCCGACCCCTGTCCTAGTGCTCAAGGCATCCAACATGGTTCTCTTCTTGCACCAACAGTTGTGCCAGGAAGACCAGGGTGGGAAGAAAGAAGTGGTTGTGAACTTTATGGTTAAGAATTTCATCTGGATTCCCCCCCGCCACCCCCCAAAAAAAACCACACTGGAAATGTCAGCAAGTCTCATCTAATGTTTCTAGAACTGTGATCCGCAAAGCATTTGAAGGTGTTTTCGGAGTGGATCCCACAGCCCAATAAAAAAAAGGATTGGTTTTGAATCAGGTTCTCCAGTGGGGGGGGGGGGGGGGGGGCGCTTGATTAAAAATTTTATATTTTGTCAAAATGGTGAAGAAGGGGAAATCAGCAGCTTGGGGGGGGGGGGGGGGAATATTTTTGCCATGACCGATGGAGGCAGATGTGAAAAACCAGGTTGGGGGGAATCAGTCATGGAAAAAATTCAACAATCTCAGGCCCTAAGACTCAACATATTGGCTCTAAAAAGACCATGTCTACACATTTCATGTCCGTTTGAAGAACGCCGGGGGGCGTTTTAGCAATCCGTCTTTATACTGCGATGTTAATCCCGTGTTATTTCACTACAAGGAAGGGGCTGGACTAGATGACCTCCAGAATCCCTTCCGTTCTCTGAAACCTGTTATCCCACTTCTTCCTCCATGCTGTTTAGACAAAACAAAGTTCCAGGGGACTTCCCTGGTTTTATTATATTATATAGGTTATATAATTCTTGTAATTGTATTCTATTATCTATCCTGATGGCAGAGCTCTATGGAATGAAGCGCTTTAAATTTGTAACATTACATTGATCTTAACAGCTTTTCTCTAAACCGTGTACTTAATGAATTGATAAATAAAACGGAATCTCAACATGGCCAGTTTGGAGGACTATTTTTGCCCGATCCTAAAACGATTGAACTTGTTACCTGCCCTGGGGACCCAGTGTTTAGCATGCAGTATTGCAAGTTAATTCTTCCCACTGCCAGGAGTTCGATTCTGACTGGTTCAAGGTTGGCTCAGCCTTCCATCCTTCCGAGGTTGGTAAAATGAGGACCAAGATTGTTGAGGGCAATGTGCTGACGTTTTAAACCGCTTAGAGCAGGGGTGTCAAACTCAATTTCATTGAGGGCTGCATCAGGGTTGTGTTTGACCTGGAGGGGTTGAGGTAAGCGTGGCCAGGGTGGGCGTGCTTGACATCACCTGTGGTGGCCCTCGTCTTCTGCCAGTGAAAACTGGCTCACAAGCTCCATTTTCAGCTAGGATGCCCCCCCTGCAACCCTCTGCTACCGAAAACAGAGCTTGGGAAGGCCTCCTGAGCTCCATTTTTTTCTGGCAGAGGCACCATGGGCCGGTTCTTTGCTATTTCCAGGGTGGCCCCGTGGCCCAAATCTAAGCGCCCCACGAGCCGGATCCGGCCTGTGGGCCTTGAGTTTAACCCTTCTGAGTTACAGACTGCTATAAAGCACTAAAAGGGTAAAGGTAAAGTTTCCCCTCGCACATATTTGCTAGTCATTCCCAACTCTAGCGGGGTGGTGCTCATCTCCGTTTCAAAGCCGAAGAGCCAGCGCTGTCTGAAGACGTCTCCGTGATCATTTGGCCGGCATGCTAAACGCCGAAGGCGCACAGAACGTTACCTTCCCACCAAAAATGGTCCTCATTTTTCTACTTTCATTTTTACATGTTTTCGAACTGCTAGGTTGTCTGGGACAAGTAACGGGAGCTCACTCCACTTTAATGCGGCACTCGGGATTGGCGCAGTGGTTAAATGCAGCACTGCAGGCTACTTCAGCTGACTGTAGTTCAGCAGCTCGGCTGTTCAAATCTCACCGGCTCAGGGTTGACTCAGCCTTCCATCCTTCCGAGGTGGGTAAAATGAGGACCC